AAAAACAAAACCAAAACTAAACAAAAAACATGGTAGTACTCAAAGAGGAGGAGGCAAGCTCATCGTTCCCTTAAATGGGAACTTGAAATCAGCCTGAGCTGTAGACTCTCCCTAAAGAAGCAAAAGCCTCCTACTCCCCTTTGAAATAAGGATGCAGGTAGTGCAGGCTAGCCTCCAGCTTGCTAGCCTTCATCTTCCTGCATGAGCCTCCCAGGCACTGGGATGACAGGTACGGGCTTTTCTTTATTTGGGAGAGAATCAGTCTCAAATTCAGTCTCACTCTCTCTAAGATTTATTCTTATTTTATACATATGAATGTTCTGCATGTACATTCGTGTGCCACATTTGGGCCTGGTGCCCAAGGTGGCCAGAAGCGGGCATCAGATCGCCTGGAACTGGGATTACAGATGGTTATGAGCCTCCATGTGGTGCTAGGAATTGTTCCCCAGTTCTCTGGAACAACAGCCAGGGATCTTAATGGCTGTGCCATCTCTCTGGCCTCTTTTTGGTCTTCTCCAATGTATTAAAACCAAAGTTAGTGGACAGCCCTGTTCAGCTTTCATTCCAAGTGAAAATGGTCCTAACGCTTAGCTTACCTGTTTATTACTGTTCTGTTGGTCCTACAGCTCAGTAGCACAGTGTTTGTGTAGTATATACAAGGCCCTCAGCCCAACTTTCAGTATTAAAAAAAAATCAGCTGGGCGGTGGTGTTGCACGTCTTTAATCCCAGGATTTGGGAGGCAGACAGGCGGATCCCTGTGAGTTCAAGGCCAATCTGGTCTACAAGAGCTGGTTCCAGGACAGTTAGGACTGTCTCGGGGGGGAAAAAAAATCAGCTCATTGGCATCTCATTACCAGTCTATCATTGCTTTAATTAAAAAACATTTTTTAAGGAATGGTAGTTGCAGTGTAATCGAATACATTTCAGCACCTGTTGATATGATCACATAATTTTTTATTTTATTTTGTTACTATTATGAATTATGTTGACAGATTTTCTACTACTAAACCAAGTCTGGCTCTGGACTAAACTGGTTAGAGCACAGTATTTCTCAAATCCAGCAGAGTAGGGCTGGAGAGATGGCTCAGTGGTTAAGAGCACTGACTGCTCTTCCAAAGGTCCTGAGTTCAATTCCCAGCAACCACATGGTGGCTCACAACCACCTGTAATGAGGTCTGGTGCCCTCTTCTGGGCTGCAGACATACACACAGACAGAATATTGTATACATAATAAATAAATAAATACATAAATATATAAAAAAAATCCAGCAGAGTATTCTGATGACATTTGATGATACCCAGGGCTTTGCACATGCTGCACCTCTACTGCGCTACAGCTGCAACCTTTTAACGTTTCCAGGTAGACATTTTAAAGTTCTTGCTTTGGATTTATCTCTTCAATCAAATGTCAATAATTTGTAGCTTTAATTTTAGGATAAGTAGTAGATTCTTTTCTTTTTAAAAACTTAGTTATTCTGTTTTATTTGTATGTGTGTGTGTGTGTGTGTGAATGTGTGCCATGTGTGTGCAGATACCTGGAAGCAACATATTTGTGAGCCTCCTGACAAGGGTGCTGGGAATAGAACCCTGGTCCCCTGGAAGAGCAGTATGTGCTGTTAACCACGGCATCACTTCTCCAACCCTTAGGTTCCTTTACTTTTTCTTTCTTACACAATGAAAGCACTTAGGTAATGTGGGATTCCCCCTCTGTATGCTGTGAATACCATTGGTTACTAAAGGAACTGTCTTGGGCCTGCACAGGGAATAGAGGTAGGTGGGGAAAACTAAACAGAATGCTGGGAGAAAGAGGAGTTAGAAAGAAGTCGTGTAGTCCTGCCAGAGATAGACGCCAGAACTTTACCCAGTAAGCCACAGCCACATGGCAATACACAGATTAGTTGAAATGGGTTAAATTAATACGTAAGAGTTAGCCAATAAGAAGCTAGAGCTAATGGGCCAAGCAGTGATTTAGTTAATATAGTTTCTGTGTGGTTATTTCGGGTCAAACGAGCAGCCTCCTCCAACACTTAGGACCATGTATTTTCCTGAATACTTGGAACTCACTATGTAGATCAGGCTGGCCTGGAACTTACAGAGACCTACCTCAGCCTCCTAAGTGCTTGGATTAAAGATGTTCATCATCAATTCCAACTTTTGATTGACCCTATGCTTCTTTTTTGTTTGTTTATTTTGTTTATTTATTTATTCAAGACAAGGTTTCTTGTGTAGCCCTGGCTACTCTGGAACTTTCATTGTATACCAGGCTGGCCTCAAATTCAGAGATCCAATATGCTTCTTAAATTTCCAAACACACACACACACACACACACACACACACACACACACTCGTGACATTTGTTTATAATCTCAATACTCTGGAGGTAGAGGCCAGAGGATCAGGAGTTCAAGGTCATTCTATATTACTTAGCAAGCAAGCTGGAAGCTATCATCTCAAAAACTAACAAAACAAAACAGCCCAAACAACAAGAACAACAACAACAAATCCTTAAACCAAGCAAATCATGCCAAGTATAATTCATGCTTGGCATGTCTAAGTCCCAGGTCCAGTACCTCACCAAAACAATAAACTAAACTAAAACTAAACTAAAACAAAACAAAAACTAAAGAATATATTGATCTAAAATGTTGTAAAGTAGGTTAGAATTACAAGATTGGATTTTAGACCTCAGGGGAACAAGGCCCAGGATATTTACCTCCTGGCAGAGGTCACACCTGCCACAGGGTCTCTGAATATCAACCACTAGGTGCATGCAATCAAGGAAAATGGCCAGTGAGTGGAACCAGAGAGGTTAGTAATTCAAGGGAGGTTACCCAGCTCACAAAAGAGCTAGCCAAAATCCCCAAACCTCAGTATTCTCCATCCTGATGCCAGCTCTCAAAGAAGGGATTAGAGGTCCCAAAATGGATTTTCTTTCTGAAGACTTGGGGTCGTAGGGCAGAACTAAGGACAAAAGCAGGGCAATGTGGACGGTGAGGGAGAGTTAGACGCTGGTGGACAGTGAGGGAGAGTTAGACGCTGGTGGACGGTGAGGGGGAGTTAGACGCTGGTGGACGGTGAGGGGGAGTTAGACGCTGGTGGACGGTGAGGGGGAGTTAGACGCTGGTGGACGGTGAGGGGGAGTTAGACGCTGGTGGACGGTGAGGGAGAGTTAGACGCTGGTGGACCACTGGTGAGGGAGAGTTAGACGCTGGTGGACGGTGAGGGAGAGTTAGACGCTGGTGGACCACTGGTGAGGGAGAGTTAGACGCTGGTGGACGGTGAGGGGGAGTTAGACACTGGTGGACGGTGAGGGAGAGTTAGACGCTGGTGGACCACTGGTGAGGGAGAGTTAGACGCTGGTGGACCACTGGTGAAGGAGAGTTAGACGCTGCTCTGGCTGAGTATGAAGGCCGAATGCCTGGACTTGGAAAGGGAAGTGAAGAGATCAATGGTGAGGCCAGCCTGGGCTACTTAGTCAGCAGGATACTGTTTGAAAATAATAAAGGAGTGGGTGGTGGTGCTGCAGCTTTTCTGTCTAGTGCACCTGCTGAGTGGAGTGCACCTTAACTGTCACCTCCCCCACAGAAACCCTGACTGTAGCGATAACTCATTTGGCAAGCGTGACAAGCGTGCCTCCTTTTTTTCTTTTTTTGAGATAAGGGGCTCAAACTTGTGACCCTTGAACATAGCTCTTTGGATTTAGTTATAGCTCAGTAAAGCTGTGGATCAAAGTGAGGGAAAAAGGGGAGTCGGGTGGGGGGAAGCCCTTTTCTTTGTGGTCCTCTACAAAAGAGGGAGAGGGACTTGGCTTGCTGGGCAGCTGGGGCCAATGGCCACATGAAAGAGCAGTAAACTAGTATGTGAGTTTTGGGAGCTGGGTGGGGGCAGAGGCAAGTAGATCTTTGAGTTCAAGACCAGCCTGCTGTCTTAAAAAAACAAAACAACAAATAAACCAAAAGCCAAACCAACCCCCAAATCAAAAAAGTTTTGGATTTAATTGGTGTCAGGCATGCACACAAAATCAAGTGAAAAGGTGGACCCTAGTTTACTGAGAACATTTGGTACCCGCTAATACAAAAAGGTGCTCTTGAGGTAGAAGGTTCCAGGTTCCTTCCAAGCTGTACAGGACCCTGGGCAGGCACAGGACCCCCACTGGCACTTCAAACCTGGCTGACAGGCAGGGGACAGTGGCCCCAGAGTCCCTCTGGACCTCAGTACCCCTTTCTCCATTACCAAGAGACAAGGCCAAGCCACGTGCTCACCGACTGTTGGCTCAGGCAACAGCAGGCTATGGGGAGAGCTTGGCCTAGCCCCCCTCCCTGGGAGCCAGCAGCACTAAAGAACAGGGTGGGTAAAAGGGTGTTGGGCTCCCCAACTCTGACTCTCCTCCCTACCCCAAGAAGCCCTTTCAAAGGATTTCCTGGCAAAGTGCAAAGCTTCAATTCATTCAATTGCCTGGCCCAAGGCCCAGGATGTGGGGATGCTGGGAAGGCCCCAAACCTCACCTTAACTGCCCCCAGTTTCCTGGGACCCCAGCTGGCAGGCGTCCCACTGGTCTCTTCATCCAGGGACAGCTACCCCCTTCCTCATGGAACCCAGGCACCCCAATTCTTTCCCGTGGAGCAGATGGCCACTCCAGAGGCTCAGGCTTGCTAAATCAGACATTTAAATCCAGTAATCCTCCGTGAGAGGCCGCCCAGAGGACAGCAGCAGCCCAACCCTAGAAGTAGGGGTGGGTGAGGACTCTGTGCCAGCCCTGGCAGGAGGGAGGAGGGACAGTTGGTTCCCAAGTTATGAATGGAGTCACCCTTCTCCCTTATTGTCATGCAGCCCACAGACTGACCCAGTCCCCAGCTTTGTTCCTCTTCTGGAACCCCAGAACTCTATCACTGTCTGGACTCCGGTGGCTGCCTCCCAAACTTATCCCTGTAACCCGGAGACCCAGGTAGCCTAGGCTGGTATCAACCTCTCAAAAGACAAACAAGTGATAACAAAAAAATTTATTGTAAAATAAGAGATCGATATATAAAAGGGGGTATAAAAAGGGAAAGGGGGTGGTGGTAAATGCACAAAGGCCAGGCAGAGTTCAGAGAAACTGATCCTGAACCAAGGGTGGAAAGAACACGGGTCTTGGTGGATACAGACCCTATGAGAGCCCAAGATAGAATCTTACAGGGTGGAGGGTGGGGTGAGATTTCATTTTAGGTGCCAGGGTCCAACAAGTGGCTGGATAGGATTTCGCTGGGCCAGCAGAGACCTGGCAACTACCAACCCATCCCCCAACAGGTGTCCCAGCCACAAGGTAATAAAAAGGTCTGGAAGGGACAAGTATCACAACAAACCCTGAGGAGCAGACAGGCTGATCTGCATTTTATAGATGCAGTTGTTCAAGTTGGGAGAAAGTAAACTCAGAACTGGGCGGGGCCTCACCACTGTACACAGCCAAGCACATGGCCAACTGCAAGCTCCAACCCCACCAAGAGTTTTCTTCCTCTCTTCAAGACTCTCATGGTCAGAATCCTAAAAGCTGAGCTGGTATTCCCACTACCCTCCCCAGATACCGGTGATGACCGGATTAACCCAAGCACCCAAGTTACAAAATGGCAGGAAAGGAGGAAGGGGATGAGAGGTTGCTGACGGGGACAGGAGGCGGAGGATGTCAGTCTGAGTCAGGCCCCTCTCTCTTGATCATTAGTTTTTTATGACGGGAGGTTGACTGGCCCTTCTTGGACTTCAGGTAGCTGTAGGAAGACAGAGGGGAGGAGGGAGCCAGTGTGACAGGAGGCAGCAGCCTGGGCTTTTCTCCTTGGGCAAGGCTGGAGGCTGTAAAAATGAGAATCTACCTTTCACTACACCCTAATTCCACATCCCTATCCCCCACCATGAGATCGGGTCTTGCTATGTAGCCCTAGCTGGCCTGGAACTTGTGTGTGTGTGTACGCGCGCGCGCATGTGAAGGCTTCAAAGGTCAAATTCCACCTCTGCCTTCCTTACTGATGAGGTGACAGGACCATGATACCTTGTCCCTCATCACGCTTTCTGAGGAAATGGAGCCTGAACTGGGGGATAAGCAGGCCTCACAGGGCCCATTAGCACTTGGCAGGGTCTCAAGTAACCTCAGACCCCCAAACAGCCACTCTCAGCCAGCAGAATGGGTCCGCTGTTAGGAAAGGTCAGGGTAAGGGTACCACAGCTGGGAGCTGACCCAGGTCACTCACCTGGAGTGAGCCCTGCTGTCTCCTGACCCATTTGCATCCTGAGCATCCTTTAATTCTAAGGCCTCATTCAGCTCTGAGAACATCTTGAAGCGTTCACGACCACGGATCTGCAACAAGGGTGGAGGGAACAGAAGTATTGGGCAAAGTCACAGAACCCCTTCCCTGCTGTTAACACCTTTCTGATAGCTGGCCCCCAACTTAAGATGGCATGACTTACAGTTGTTGGGGGGACTTTATGATGGGGTGAAAGCAACAGGTATTCAGTAGAAAGTGTGTATCAAATTTGGGTCTTTTCCAGTTAGCGATAACACAAGTAGGATGCTCTATTGATGCTGACGATGGACAGAAAGGCACAGCTCTCAACAGCACGATCAAGAGGGGAAATTCAGTCTGGGAAATGCACTATGTTGCTGAGCTGTGGAGTCCAGTCAGTTAGGTGAATTAAATGCACCCTGTGTGCCACTGAGAATTCAGGGCCTGGTGCGTGCTAGGCATGTATCCTGAAACCGAGTTGTGACCTTAAACCCAAATGTCCTTGTTTTGGTTTCTCTCTCTGTCTCTCTCTCGACAGGGTTTCACTGTAGCTTTGGAGCCTGTCCTGGAACTAGCTCTTGTCGACCAGGTTGGTCTCAAACTCACAGAGATCTGCCTGCCTCTGCCTCCCGAGTGCTGGGATTAAAGGTGTGCGCCACCACTTCCCAGCTTGATTATGTTTTTCTGCAAGTTTCAAATCTGTAGCCTCCTTCCTCAGTTCTGAAAGTATGTGCCAACCATGTCTGGCTCTAAACGCGTTTTTGACATAAGGTATTTTCAACTTACAACGAGTTTGCCAGGACGTGTTCTCATCTTAGGTAGAGGAGCACCTACCTGTATTATGATCTAAGTTGGTGTTCTCAAGTTAGGTACACCAAGACCCACTGTCTCCGAGGCATGCTGCCCACCGAGTATATGGTCTGAAGCTAAGGCCATATACTAGCTAGAGACAAAGAGCTAAAGAGAAATAGCATTTTGTGTGCTAGACTTAGAACTTTAACCTGGCAACAGTACTTGCTTGATACACGCAAGAGACATCAATAAAGGCAATAGTGGATACACCTTGTCTTCGTTATGCGACTCTCCCAACCTTGGTACCTTAAGGGTGAAATATTCTCCATCAAGTGGTTTCTTCTTTGGCTGGGGAGAGGAGCTTATGTTGGTGGGCAGCACTGCAAAAAAGGAAAGCAGAGGCAAGAGAGTGAATTTGGGGAGCAGCTGAACCTCCTCCTCCACCTTCTCTGTCCTGCCTGCTCACCTCTCTTAGAACTTCCCAGTGGCAGTTCTGGACGAGGCTCTCCCTTTTTCCGGAAATTTTCTTCCTCTGTACGACGGTCTCTCCCAGGACAGGCACAAACACGAACCTCAAAGCTGTTCCGTCCCAGCAGGTTCCCACTACCCAGGATAAGAAGGGGGAAGCACAGGACGGTGGAAAAATTGGTCCTGTTCTGATGTTAGCCCCCTCACCCCCACCTCCCCATTGCCTGCTCCCAAGTACTTTTATCCTTTCTGGAGTCAAAGCTCCAGGACATCGAAGCCGCAGATAAGTGAAGTCCCCAAGTCAGAGAGGGAACAGAGGAGGGACACTTCATTCATGCAAACAGAGGAAGACCTAAAGAGGGCTAGGCGTGTGGCAGTGGGTGGGGCCCATGGAACCGAGAAAGGCAGAGGCTGGGAGCAACACGCTAGCATGACATAGCATATGGCTTCCTACCTGGGGTCTTCCAGTGTGATAATGGTGAGGATGGGCCGGCGGTTCATGCCCCCCATGCAGGAGCTATTACACATATAGTTGTAGTGGATGGTGGTACAGTCAGAGCCGACCTGGGGGAGGACACAGGACCCAGGTGAAGCCACTCCCGATCCCACCACAGGCGACCTGAAGCAACCAGGAAGCCTCAGTTTTAGCTGAACAGTAGGGACACCCCACCTGCTCTGCATGCCTCCTGGAGAAGCAGGGTGCTGGATGGGAAGCAAGTGGGCTGGAGATAGGGTACACCACTTGCCTAGCGTGTGTGAGGCTCTGGGTTGTACCCCAGACTCTCCACCTCCCACCCGGGTGGCCACCAACAACCCCCTTCTGTTCTCTTCTCCCAGAGACCCTCTTGTTCAAGTAAACCTCAGGCTGGGCATGGTAGTTCATGCCTAGAGGCCAGTATTCAGGAGCCTGAGGCAGGAAGGTTGCTGCAAGGTCAACATCAGTCTGGGCTAGTAGAAATCAAACCAAACCAAACCGAACAACAGACCTCCGGTGGCTCATATGGCACCACCACACTGTGCCGGAAAGTCTGCCTGTCATCCAGATACTCGGCTCGCAAGTTTCCTTCCACTCGGATGAGATGCTGAGGGGGAGCCAAACCTAAGATCAACCAAGAAGGTTAGAGGCTGGGAGACTCTAGGCAACCAATTCTAATCCCAGAGCCTGCCCTGGGTACTCACCATCACCATCGGAGCAGCGCTCATGGTGGGGGCAGCGCCTAACGACTTCTGTCATGTGCTGTGACTTCTTGTAGATGGCCATGGCACGGACACGGGTGCCAGGAGGAGGTGTGGAGCTGACCCACAACTGCACAGGACATGTTTTTGCCAGCTGGCAGAATAGCTTATTGAGGGAAGGGGAGTACTGTAAGAGAGGAGAAAGAACCGGAGGTCAGGGGACAAGCCAACTCAGGAGCAAGGGTCACAGTGGGGATGTCATGAAAAACACTGCCAAGCAGGCACTGAATGCCAGGTATCGTGGGACATTGTGGGAGAGCAGCCAGCAATGATAGGATTTCTTGCAGCCCTGGCTGTTCTAGAACTCAGATCAGGCTGTCCTCGAACTCAGAGATCCGCCTACCTCTGTCTCCCAAGTGCTGGGATTAAATGCCTGCGCCGGCCTCCCCTTTTCTTTTCTCTCTCTCTCTTTTTTTAAAGATTTATTTATTATGCATACAATGTTCTGTTAACATATACACACCAGAAGAGGCACCAGATCTCATTACAGATGGTTGTGAGCCACCATGTGGTTGCTGGGAATTGAACTCAGGACCTCTGGAAGAGCAGCCAGTGCTCTTAACCTCTGAGCCATCTCTCCAGCCCCCCTTTTCTTTTCTTTCTTTTTATTTTATTTTATTTATTTATTTTTGTTTTTCAAGACAGGGTTTCTCTGTGGCTTTGGAGCCTGTCCTGGAACTAGCTCTGTAGACCAGGCAGGTCTCGAACTCACAGAGATCCGCCTGCCTCTGCCTCCCGAGTGCTGGGATTAAAGGCGTGCGCCACCATCGCCCGGCTTTCCCTTTTCTTTTCTTGAGAGAGGAATCTTACTATGTAGCCAAGGATGCCCTTGAATTTTTGTTCCTTCTGTCTTAGCTTCCCCAGCACTGAAGTTAGAGGTGTGTGTCATCCCACTGGACTGTTTTTGTTTGTGAAAAGGAGTCATGCTATGCTGCCCAGGCTGGCCTTAAGCAATCCTGCCTCAACCTCTCAAGCAGCTGGGACTAGGTCATATGCCACTGCGCCTAGATTCAGAGGATTATTTTCAAAAGCCAAGAAAGGAATGCGAGGAAAAGAAAGTTCCATGTCCCCTGGAGAGATGCTGAGGCGAGGAGGAGGAGGAGGAAAACCAAAGGTTCAGGGGGAAATTAAACTCTGAGACATACATCAAAGTCCACGGGCTAAAGAGGAACCCCAAAATCTAGACAGAAAAAAACAGGCATTGAAAGGTCACATGGAAGTCAACTTCTCAGGGACACTGACCGTGCAGGTGACAGATTTGGCCGTCCCTGAGTGCAGGAAGCCCAGGCGAAAACCATATTCGCCCTGGTAGGTTTTTTGGGACGGGACAGAAGATGAGAGGGGCCAGGAAGTGACTGGTGCAGGGGTCACCGGTGCAGGGGCCTCAGTGACAGGGTCCTCTGCTGTAGAAGCTGCTGCTGACATTTGGGGGCCTTCATTTGGCTCTTCTAACCAGTTTGCAACATCCTGGGACAGGAACAGATCTTCCATGGCATCAACTGACAGCGATGTGGACTGTGGATGGGCCAAAGAAGAACCTCAATACTGTGTTCTCAGTCTTCCATCAGACCAGCCCGCCAAACCCTCAGTCCCTTTCTGGCCTAGTTCTTACCAGAACATTGTTTGGAGGAAGTCTGCAAGACAAGAGCAAAGAGTTAGCACCACTGACCTCCTGTTTGTGGAGATAGGATCTTGCTTATCCCAGGCTGGCCTCAAACTTTAGATGCTCCAGCCTCCACCTCCCAAATACAGGGATTATAGGCACCCAATAGCATACTTTGTCCCCCTACCCTCTAGATAGGGTTTCTCTGTGTAACAGTCTCCCCCTTTCCTGGAACTCGCTTTGTAGATCAGGCTGGCCACTTGCCTCTGCCTCCCAAGTGCTAGGATTAAAGATGTGAGCCACCACTGCCCAGTCCAGATATGTGTTTATGTATACATGTATATATAACATGTACACAAGCACACTTTTTTTTTGTACCACACCTTGTTTTAACACTACTGTTTTTTTTGCCAGGCGGTGGTGGCGCACGCCTTTAATCCCAGCACTCGGGAGGCAGAGGCAGGTGGATCTCTGTGAGTTCGAGACCAGCCTGGTCTACAAGAGCTAGTTCCAGGACAGGCTCCAAAACCACAGAGAAACCCTGTCTCAAAAAACCAAAAAAACACTACTGTTTTTGCTTCTCATAGGCCTTCACTAGGGGATAGGGTGTTTGAATTAGGGGATGATGGGGGTGGGGGTTGGTGCACTTTAGGGGCCCCATAAGATCCACTCACAGGTTCCACAAGTCTGAAAATGTCTCCTGACTCAGAGGGGGCTCGATGCTGAGGTCTGACTGTGGCTCCTCCATTGAAGCACCCAAGAAGTCAAGTCAGGCTTCTGTGAGAATAAAGTGAGGATGGTCTGCCAGGGGACACCACTCCCTCCCGGAGCAGCTCTTCTGTCTGTTCTCAGGTTGCCTTGCCGCAGCCCTGGCCTGACTTCTTATCAGATTCTCTAACCCTACACCTCTTTAAGGAGGCACTTTCCGTCCCCACAACCCCCCTTTCCCTTTGGGAAGGACACCTCCCTGACTCCCCCCAACACCTGTTCCCCGCGGGACAGCTCCTCAACCCCTTACAAATTCCTGAAGACTCAGCAATTTCCCTAGAGCCTTCTCTCTGGGTTCTAATCAGCACTTCCCCAGCTCAATCAGGGTGCTTCCTTCTACAAGAGCGAATTCCTGTTTTTATTCTTCCTACGGCTATGAGGTAGGCTCTTCAGGAATGCTCAACCACAGCCAGCCAGCCAATCTCCTCAAGCCACACCAGGACATTTTTCAGCAAGCTTAAGCTCTGCGGTCCGTCCTTTCTCTCGATCTTCACCACCCTCAGCCAGGCAGCTATTACCTCACTTTCTCCCGGGCTGGCTTTCAAATAACCCCTCTAGGCTACCCGTAAGAAATTACTTCCTTATTTAAACATTTACTTATTTGTTGTGAGTGTACTTGTCTGCCTGCCAAGTCGAGTGTGACGATCACAGCGCAACCTGCAGGATTTGGTTTTCCCCTTCCACAAGGTGAGTTCTGGGGATTTAAACGCAGGAGTCTGGACTAGCTAGTAGGGCCCTCTGGCTAGCCCCCGGGACATCAGACCCCCCCCCCCCCCCACACTCCTGGACAAGTGCTGTGAGTACTGATTACAATCTTCCTTCACTTTGATGTAGACTGAGCACTTTCCCATTCACTTAGGAGTGTGAGAACTCTCTTCAGTAGGGTTATCTTATACTGTCTTGATAGTCACACCTGCCCAGGATGTGGAAGGCAAAATGAGTGAGCGCTTATTAAAGATGGCTTCCCACAACCTAGTTCATCCGCAGCTCTCCTGCCATCAGTTAGGGCAGGCCTTTGTTGATGAAAGCAAAGGTGGGGGCACCATCACCCCTTCATTCCGAGGACTGAGGAGGCCATGGAAAGGGGCGAGGGAGGCCCAGAGCCCCTTCAGAAGCCAGGGGTTCGGAATCAGACATCTCAATCTTACTATAAGACTCCATCTGTTTTGTTCATTTACTTGAGATCGGGCCTTGGGGCGGAGCTCAGTGGTAGACAATTTACCTAGCTTGTAAAGCCCTAGGTTAGGGCCCCCTCATCCTGGCCCCGGGTCATTTACGCCCACGCGCGTGCATGTAAATGGAGACAAACACTGGGCATGTTAAGAGTCAGCAATGTTAATATGACTGCCTCATTCGTTCTATGAGCTAGCGGGGCTCCTGTGGTACTAACTGCTCCGCTCCCCATTCATCAAATTCACCTTCAAGGAGCTCTGTGGTATATGTGTGTGTGCTGGGCTAGCGGTCCAACGGCTCAGTCTCCCGTGGAGATTGTCACATAGACACACTCTATCAACCATGTTATTAGTAGTAATTATGTTTTCAGTATCTCCTTTGATAGTGGATCTCTGTGAGTTCGAGGACAGCCTGGTCTACAGAGCAGGAGCTACACAGAGAAACCCCATCTCAAAAAACAAAACCACAAGACAAACAGAAAGAGCAGACCCCTCTGAGAAGGACTGAGGAGGAAGCCATGGTATCAAGATTTTATCAAGCCAAATGGTCAGGGAGGTTAGGCGTTTGGGAAAATGCTGAGCAGGAAGGCAATAAACCTCGAAGGGCCTGCTACTTTCAGGGGCTCATCTCATTTGATCCTCAGAAAGCCAGGCAGGTAGCTATTAACAGATGGAGGAAGAATTAAGAGAATTAAACCATTTATCCTGGATCTTCAAGCTTGTAGGGGACAGCTGGTGTAGTGACACACACCTGGGACGCCAGCACTCAGAAGGCTGAGGCAGGATGGCCAGGAGAGGAGGGTTCAAGGCTTGTCTATGGCAACCTGACAACCGCCAAACCAAAGCAAACAAGTCAGAACAAAATTATTCTCCTCATGTTTCTCTCGCGGGGCTGGGGAGAAGGCTCAGTGGTTAAGAGTGCTTGCTGCTCTTGCGAGGACCTGAGTTCAATTTCCAGAACCAGTCTGCATCAGGTGGCTCACAGCTAGAGGTGTGCACGTGTGCGCGCATGAAAAAAAACTCTACCAGTAAAAAAACCCCATATATATATATACACACACATATATGTATATATACATATATATAGACACATATATGTACATACATACATACATACATACATATATATATATAGGAATCAGCAGGGTTCACTCCCAGTACTGGGGAGAAAAGGGCAGGGATACATTGTTGGTTCTAAGAGTAACAAGGCAGTGCCAGAGATGGCTTAAAGCACACATCTCACCACTCAGCAAAACCACTTCTAGGTACACTTCCTAGAAAAGTTGACCCAGACGGCAGGAGCCCTGTGCCAAAAAGCACTCGTATCAGCGTTCTTCTGCTCGTGGAGCTAGGAGAAACCACAATGGGAACCGTTGGTGGGGAATGCAATAAAACATGCTTTGAAAAATGCTTCAGAAACCTACTGAGTGGGGCTGGAGAGATGGCTCAGTGGTTAAGAGCATTGCCTGCTCTTCCAAAGGTCCTGAGTTCAATTCCCAGCAACCACATGGTGGCTCACAACCATCTGTAAAGAGGTCTGGCGCCCTCTTCTGGCCTTCAGGCATACAGACAGAATATTGTATACATAATAAATAAATATTTTTTTTTTTTTAAAAAAAGAAACCTACTGGGTGAAAAATACAATCTGCAGACAAACAGTTTATGTTAATCAGAAAATGATGGTTCTGTGACCGGAAAAGGCACTTTTTTTTTTTTGTTTTTTCGAGACAGGGTTTCTCTGTGGCTTTGGAGCCTGTCCTGGAACTAGCTCTGTAGACCAGGCTGGTCTCGAACTCACAGAGATCCGCCTGCCTCTGCCTCCCGAGTGCTGGGATTAAAGGCGTGCGCCACCACCGCCCGGCTCGGAAAAGGCACTTTCTACCAAATGTGATTACCCAAAAATTCATGTTCGTGCACACCCCCCCCCAGCAACATATAATAAAAAGCAAACCATTATTTTTAATTTACATTTATTTTCTATTTTGAGACAGTTTTTGTAGCCTGGTTACATGGCAGTTCTTCTCCTGTAGTTCCCTAAGTTTAGAAATTTTTTTTCTTCTTTTTTTTTGGGGGTTTTCAAGACAGGATCCCTCTGTGAGCCCTGGCTATCCTAGAACTTGCTTTGTCGATCAGGTTGGACCGGAACTCACAGAGATCCATCTGCCTCTGCCTTCCAAGTGCTGGGACTAAAGTTGTGTACACAGTCCAGTAAGACTACTTATTTTTATAAACATGTATATGAACATGCATGAAAGACAGTAAGTGAGAGCAAAAATTCACAGAACCCGTGAAAGTCTAAGGAACAGAGTCGATGGGACTATGGCTGACCACCAGAGAAGGTTTTAGCTTTATTAAACAGGAGGGCGAGGGAGAGAGAGTTCAGCCATTGTTTATGTAAGGAAAATGTGGAAACAAGAGAATATGTTAACTGTTTGTTTGGCAAATTTTCTTTTTTCTTCTTCAAGACAGGGTTTCTCTATCGCTTTGAAGACTGTTCTGGAACTAGCTTTTGTAGACCAGTCTGGACTCAAACTCACAGAGATCCGCCTGCCTCCTGGCTTTGGCAAATTTTCAAGTAGCTCCATAACCCTCTCTCTCCAGCACCAAGACAAAGACTTGGTTCATTCTAACAGCCAAAGACAAAAAATAAGCAACAAAACAACACACCAAAACCAAAGCAACAACATGTAAAGATGTTACTAACTTTCCCTCCTAAAAGTTTGCCAGTTTAACATTTAGGTCTGTAACAGCACCAAGTTAATACTAAGGAGTCAAAGTTACTCTGGTCCCTTCCAAGGTGACTTTCCCTAGTGAGTCATCACTTTGTAGCAACTTGGAATACCTCACTTTTGGAATTTATTCCTTGCCCCTGTCTTGAGAGAGTCTCACAATGTGCTGTAGGCTGCCTTAAATCCATTCCTGGACGCCTCAACTGCCAGAGGGCTGGATTCTAGGCACTGTGAGGATCGTTCCACACCATGAATATAACAGAAATAGAGGAAGGGAAAAGGACAAGGTGTAGCTAGCCACTGTTGTCTGATATCTATAGACAAATCACATTTGGTCAAGATGGACTGACTCATCATCTTGTGTTTTGTGGTTCTGGGTACGCTAGGTGAAATACTCTACCACATACACCTCAAGCTGTTTGGTTTACCTGAGACAAGGTTTTGCCATATAGCCCAGGATGGTTTTCTTTCTCTTTTCTTTTTCCTTTGTGTGTGTGTGTGTGTGTGTGTGTTTTGGGCTTCCCCGTGTAACTGGCTGTCCTGGCCTCAGAATCCTGGGAGTTCTGGCACTACAGGCACTGACATCATGTATGCCTGCATTGATCTTTTTCAGTGTAAATGTGGGATTTGATAACATATGTTAATTTTTGCACTTAAAAAAATTAACTTACTCATTTTAGGTACATTGGTGTTTTACCTGCATGTATGTCTGTGTGAGGGTGTTGGAACCACTGGAATGGGAGTTACAGACAGTTGTGAGCTGCCATGTGGGTGCTGGGAATTGAACCCAGGTTCCCTGGAAGAGCAACCAGTGCTCTCAACTTCTGATCCAACTCTCTAGGCCCCGAACTTTTTTTTTTTTTGAGACACTGTCTAACTCATCCCAAATTGGTCTAGAACTACAGAGCCAAGGATGACCGTGAACTTCAGTTCCTCCCCCTCTCTACCTCACAAGTGTTTTGTTTTTTAAAGACAGAGTCTCAATGTATCGCACAGGCTGATCTTGAACTCCCTGTAGTATCAGACTCTGGTCTGGAAGTTGAGATCCTACTTCCGGCTGCTGCCATGTAACCAAGTCCCGTGCCTCTGCCAAATATTAACACACTCAGTTCCTTTTTCTTTTCGAGATAGCGTTCCACTGCATAGCCCCAGCTGTCTGGGATCTTACTCCAGAGACCAGGCTGGCCCCGAACTCAGATACCTGTCAGCCTCTGCCTCCCCACCGCTGGGAAAGGCTAGCTAGCAGCATCCTGTCTAACCTGGCTCCAATACTACTAACATTTACTTGAACGGCATTTCTATTACACGGTCATAAATAAACTTCTTAAGATTTAAGCATAAATTATAGGCAATATACTACCCATCCTTCACCCCCAACCCCCTTGCACTAAATTATTCAAGGAAACTGAAGACCTTTGTTAAAAAAAAGTAAACAAAATTTACATAGATCTACGTTTGTAAGGGAGGGGCTCAGGGTCACATTTTTGCTGTGGACTGAGATCTTTTCACATTCTGAGGAGAGTCCATTCAAGAGATTACCAGAGAGGCCATCTGCATAACAAACCTTGGGCCGCTGGGATTGTCCGGCCTAACAGTCACTTACTTGGGTACCCTTCACTGAAGCCACAAAAATAAAAAAAATAAAAAAAAAAATAAAAAAAAAGAGAAGAAGAAAAAACCCAACCCTTTTCTTCCGGGTCTTTCAATTGTTCACTTATTCTAGTCCCTTTCCCAAGTGCTGTGTGGAAATACTACTTCTACCCAAAACAAATAAATAAAAAGAAAAAGGAAAAAAAAAAAAGACACCCACAATGTCTGGTGTGTGACTAGAAACTGCTCCAAAGATTGAAGGCGCAGGACCAGGGATTCGCTTATCCTAGCCGAGTCCTGTTCTGGTAGACTACACTTAGGATCCCCGGGCGCCCCTGGCCAAGGCCAGCCCCTTCCGCTTTCAGGACGTAAGGAATGCGTTCGGCAAGGGAATGGCTCACCCCGAAACCGGATACTCGGTAATTTGTTTTTCCGGCACGAACAAACGACCTAGCCTCGCACTCTAATAAATAAACACCTCTTCTTTTGCAAAAGCAATAACCGATTAATCCAAGAAAACGCGATGGATCGAGGATGGCAATTTCCCCCCAAGCACCAGCCTAGAATACATTTTCCCCCATTTCTACTCCCCCCTCTAGTCGAGTGAGCTTTGAGCTGCTCCGAAAAAAAAAAAAAAGAAACCGGAAATGCTCCAAAAAGCGGCAGAAATGCAAATGTGGAGCCAAACAATAACAGGGTCGGCGCGCCTTTCAGACCGGGAGGGTTTGGTCGGGCCCCGAGGGCAAACACTTTGCACTAGCTAGAGTAACAGTTTTTCTTTGGATTTTCTTCGACAAGCAGAGTTGGGGTGCGGCTGAAAAAAAAAAATCACTCCACGGACAAAGGTCCGGAAGTCGCGGGACCTTAGCAGCTAGGGCTTCCCGGATCACCCCGATTTAATTAAGGAATGGCGCCCGAATTTTCATTAGGATGCTATGGGCGCTAACGTCTTAAACTATGAGTTTTGAAAAATCTCGGATCACAGTGCTTTGTGCTTGTTATTTTTGGGGTTTCTACCATCCAGCAGTGAGTAGATAAGTGTGTATATGGGGTGGCGGACAGAAAACCCCTTAGGCCGTCTCAGCAGTCCCCAAATCCCCGATCTACTTTTCAGGTCTTTGGTTGGTCCTAGTACCCCCATCATCTTCATCACATCCAACATTGCATTGCTGTTCTTCCCGCCAGCCAAGCTTCCATTCCCCCCACCTCGCTGAGTCCCCCTACTTTCCCACCACCCCCAAACCCCACTACTCTCTCCAGTCTCAAATTACGCGAACCGAGAGCCGGGAACTCATCAGGCTCAGACAATAACTTACCGGGTCTTCAGGGAAGCGTGTCACCCTGCTGGAAAGTAGATTCAGGATTCGGATGCTAGGTGCCCCCTGGTCCCAAAAGCTACCTGCAGCCAGAATTGTGGCAGTGGACTAGCACAAAACTTTTTGGTTCGGCCACATGGGAGGGGAAAGTCCCTATCCCAGCAACCCCCGCGAGACTGCTGGCATAAAGCTGGATAGTCGCCATGACAAGTAAGGGCAAGTCATTCTGTGTGTTGAGGGCAGGAAATAGAGGAGGGCAGTTGCAGGGTCCGGATTCTCCCTGCGTTGTTGCTATCCATGCGAACGCTTTGTGAAAAATACTCTTAAGACAGAGCTATGAGGACAAAATTGGTGGAAACCGTTTCGGAAGAGCGCTGAGCACTGCTCTTTCCGATCTAGCTGGATAGTTGTCATCTTTTTGACTTTTTGAAACGGGGGGTAATCCAAATGCTTTAGGCAGCTAAGTTTCTTTTTTTTTTTTTCTCATCAGCTAAAATGTCGCTTTAGAAAGGCTTTTCTTAATATCTCAATCTAACGTGTTCTCCAAGATACTTGATATCACACCATCTTGTTTAATTTCCTGTACAGTCCTTATCACATCACTATCTGTAAAAGTTGTTTTCACAGCCTTCAATTGCACAGCAACGAAAATTTTATGGGGATAGAGAACTTGAAAGCTAAGAAGGGAGGGAGGTGGAAGGGAGTAGAAGGGATGGAGAGACAGAGAGAGAGAGAGAGAGAGAGAGAGAGACAGAGAGAGAGAGAGAGAGGGAGGGAGGGAGGGAGGGAGGGAGGGAGAGAGAGAGAGAGAGAGAGAAAGGAAATCTTATTTTGAGGTTGCCTGACTCGACAAGAGATTCAAGAGGGGCAAAAATTGTAGAAACCTAAGCACCCTCTGCAGGTCAGGGAGGGTAGGTACCTTAAGAATTATCCCAGCGGACAGTAGGGGGAGCTCATGTACTTTTCGTCGAGACCTAGAGTGATGACTACAACTCCCAGAAGCCTCTAGCGCTTGAGGGTTGGGCAAACTCGTGCCTTCCCGCTTCGCCTCTCCAGAATCTAATCGGGATGCAGAGAGCCAATCGGAAGGTGACCCGACTCCCGCGAGAGCAAGAAGCTGTAGCGGCGCGTAGCGACACCAGGTGCTTTGCTTTCTGCATTGGTTTCCCGGTGTTTGCCCTCAGTTGCGTGGTTCGGCTAACTCTTCCTGGAAGAGAGAGGCAGGCGCGGTGGGTCTCTGTGCCCGGATCCCTGGGAACTTTAATGCCATCTGGTCTCAGCAGCTGATAGCCGGTGCAAACAAGGCTTGCCCGGCCCCTGTCCTCCCCGCTTGCTCTACAGAATGAAGACGTCGGAGGAGCGACCGTCAGCTCCGGATAGCATCCCTTCTGACCAGGCCCCAGCTCCGGTGCCCCAAGGTTCCCCTGTGGATAAAAATACAGACTCCGAACTGTTACCACCGCCTTGCAGTGGAGATGAGCAGTGCCAGATAGCCACAGATTCTGTAGCTGACTCGGTCGTGTGCCCGGAGCCACAACAAGGGGACTCAGTTCCTATCTCCTCCGCTCCCTTGGAAGTAGAGTTCAATACTCCCGGTGAGTTGAGTCCTCGGATCGAGGAGCAAGAACTTTCTGAAAATGTGAGCCATCCTGTAGAAGAAACGAATCAGCCTGCGTTGGAGTCAGGAGAAGCCATGGAAGGTGTGTCTGAAGAACCCGGTCCAGTGGTCGAGGGGGACACGTAAGTGACTCAGGAATCTGAGGACGTTGGACGTGTGGAAACGACAGTCACCAGTCCTCAGCTCCACCCCAGGCCAATTTTGCTCTGACGACCCGTTTATTTCTCCATGTCCTTTCCAGCTTTTGGAGCTACAACTTCTCACAGGTACCCCGATACCTCACTGGTTCCTGGTCCGAGTTCAGCACCCGCTCCGAGAACTTCCTGAAAGGCTGTAAGTGGTAAGTACAACGGGGCGGGGATATGGCCACCTTAGGGATTTTCATTTTAAAACCCACCCATACTTGGCCCATTGTGGTGGGACAATCCTGTAATCTCAACATCTGGGAAATAGAGGAAGGACTGGGAGTTCGAGGTGAGGCAGGAGGGTCTTTGCGTTCAAGGCCAGTCTGGTCTACACAGGGAGTACAGGACAGCCAAGGCTGCACAGAGAAACCCTGTCTCAGAAAAGCATAACAAAACACTAAAAACCCAGACAAACCACAAACTTACCTAGAGGTGCCTAAGGAGTAATAGAATACTGGCGAATACTGAGACTAGGGTTTTTTTTTCCTTCCTTTGCCCTGTCGATCTTTATTTCCATTTCTGGGACTGTGGATTTAGCCTAGTGTGTCCAACATGTGAGCTTGGACCTCACCACTAAGCTACCTCCGAGTCTTATCATCATCAACATTATTTGCTTTATTTTTGATAGGGCCTTACCAAGTTGCACAAACTGGCCTGGGTCTTGAGCTCCTCAGCCTCAGCCTCTCGAGTAGCTGGGGTTATAGATGTGTGCCACCACCCTCCGCATGAGCTTTTGACTGGGTTATAGACACGTGCCATCACCCTCCGCATGAGCTTTTGACTAGCGTTTTCTCAAGGGTGTATGTACTCAGGTAGCCCTAGCCCTAAATCTGGAAATCAGGTCTGCCCAGTTTTCTAATTTTCCTATGTTTTTAGGGCCCCTGACGGTTCCTGTATCTTGACCAATAGTGCCGATAACGTCCTACGGATTTACAACCTGCCCCCGGAACTGTACAGCGAAGGAGAGCCGGTGGAATATGCAGAAATGGTAAGAGGGAGGGCCTGCCTCCGCCCCTTTGCCAGCCCTACACACTAGAGCCCTTCCTGCCAATGAAGACGGCACGTCCACAGGTGACCTGTTCACAGACAGGACGTTCCTTCGCCACGGATGTCATTTAGAGGGAAGTCAGCCTGTTTAGTCAGGAGTCTGTGTTTTCTCTGGTCATGATTTCTGTGACAGTGTGTGTCTAGGTGGTCATCAAGCAGTTAACCGCCTGCTTGGGAGGTGGCTCAGTTGGCACTCGAAGCCCGTGTTCAAGCCCCTGCACTGCATAAACTGGGTGTGTTGGCTTACTCTTGTAATCTCGGCCCTCTGGAGGTGGAGGCAGGAGGATGAATTTGAGGTCATCCTCAACTGCACGGCAAAGCCTAGGCCACTGTGTTTGGGCTGGGCTCTTTCAGAAGTAAATGGCAGATGAAGACTTTGAGATAAGATCTTTTTTTTTTTTTAAATTTTTTTTTAGTATTTATTTATTATTCATACAGTATTCTGTCTGTGTATATGCCTGCAGGCCAGCAGAGGGCACCAGATCTCATTACGGATGGTTGTGAGCCACCATGTGGTTGCTGGGAATTGAACTCAGGACCTTTGGAAGAGCAGTCAGTGCTCTTAACCTCTGAGCCATCTCTCCAGCCCCCTTGAGATAAGATCTTAATGTTAATGTAGAGACGGCTGGCCTCAAAGTAGCCATATAGCCGAGGATGGCCTTGAATCCCTGGTCTGCTGGCTTCACCTGTAAGTGCTTAGGTTGCAGGGATGTAACGCCGTGTTATCACAAGGCTAGGTTGCAGGGATGTAGCACTGCATTTGCACGAGGCCTCATCTCTTTAAGAAACAGGAAAAAAAACTGCTTTGAAGGTAAAAACCAGAAAGTTGAGGGTGACTAGGACATACTGCTTCAGGCTAGGGGTATAGCTCTGTGCCTTTGCATTTACCTAGTATTCAAGAGACCCTTGGTTCAGTTTCCAACACTGCAGAAGACAGCAAAAACTCTGCAGAAGTGGGGTGTCAGGGAACACTCCTTTAATCCCAACACTCAGGAAGCAGAGTCTGACGAGTCTCTTGTGAGTGTGAAGCCAGCCTGGTCTATAGAGTGAGTTCCAGGCTAGCCAGGGGCTACATAGTAAGACCCTGTCTCAAGTCATAAAACAAAAACAGCCTTGCAGAAGCTAGCACTTTAGGAGTACAGGTCAGGGAGGGGCAGTAGAAATGGAGACTCTTTTTTTTTTTTTTGGTTTTTCGAGACAGGGTTTCTCTGTGGCTTTGGAGCTCGTCCTGGAACTAGCTCTGTAGACCAGGCTGGTCTCGAACTCACAGAGATCCGCCTGCCTCTGCCTCCCGAGTGCTGGGATTAAAGGCGTGCGCCACCATCGCCCGGCATGGAGACTCTTTTAAAGATTTATTTTTAAATTTGTATGTGTGTGTGTGTATAACGTGTGTTCATTACCCTTGGAGGTTAGAAGAGGGCATTGGATCCCTGCAGCTGGAGTAATGGTCATCTCAGACTTCTGTCCAGTACTCAGGAGTTTGGGGCCAGCCTGGTCTACATAGTGAGTTCCAGGACAGCTAGGGCTACTAAGCAACACCGTGTCTCCAAAAACAAATCCAACAACAACCAACCAACCCCCTCCCCCAAAAGAAAAAAAAGGAACTTAACTTGGGTCCCCTGGAAGAGCAGTATCTACCTGTTCTTTTTGTTTTGTTTTACTTTGTTTTTTGAGACAGGGTTTCTCTGTGTAGCTCTGACTGCCCTGGGACTCGTTCTGTAGACCAGGCTGACCTTGAACTCACAGAGATCCGCCTGTCTCTGCCTCCCAAGTGCTGGGATTAAAGGGGTGCACAACCACTGTCCAGCCACCTACCCACCCTTAACTCCTAAGACTTCTCTCCAGCCCCGAGAGGTGACATCTAATGCGCAGAAGCCAAGGAGTCCTGATAAGTGGTGCTGAGAGGAGCTAGGAGTCTTTAGAGGGTGACCACAGGGAACACAAGGGACCCAGATAAGAGCACTTCCAGAGGAGAGATGGAGGCAGAAGTCGGTTAAAATGGGTAAGGGAAAAACAATGGGCAATTATTTGGAATTGTGCTATGGAAAGGAAGGGAGCCAAGAAATGTTTGATCACTGATCTACATCTCCAAGCCAGGAAAAGGATCAGTGATAAGAGGGATGTGGGGCCACGGAAGGGGTTGTTAAGTGGTGGTCGTGTGCTAGGGGTGGTCCTACAGAGAGGGAGGAATAGCTGAGATTGTGTCATTTATAAAGAAAAGATTTAGCTGGATGTCCCGGCCAGGGTTTGTAATCCCAGCACTAGGGAGCCTGCCTAGTCTAGTCACATAGTAA